GCTCCAGTGGAGGAAACTATGAAGCCGGGCCAGACAGGGGGAAACATCTACACAGCGGCTGTCCGGCACGCCTGGGAAGAAGGCTAAGAGTGGGGAGAGAGAGAGGGGGAGGAGGAAGGGGTGGGGAACCTCAAAGGGGAAGGACGAGCAGATAGAGCGAGAGGCAGAGACGGAGAGAGAGAGGGAGGGGAGAGGGGGCAAGCAGGACAGGGGTGTGACACCGTCAGTTGGATGGGGGGGGGGGGGGGGGGGGAGGGGAACCTGCCTCATCGACCGGGCCACATCCCCTGGGCCACGATGCCAACTAGCTAGAGTGCCAGCAGGAGATGCCTTGCCTCCCGGCTCGGACGCGCGCTCGGTACTGGCACCCTTCGCCCAAGCCACGGGGACTCTCCGGTCCGGACCGGGGGCTGCATGCGCTCTACTCCGGCCTTTTGGGTCTTCGGGTTTTGTTTTTGTTTTTTTTTTCCCGGCAAACCTCGTCTCCGCCCATCCTAGCCGATCCGCGAGTCCTCGCCCCCTCCAGGCGACAGTGCGCCTAGGCGGAGGGGCGAGGGGAGGAACGGGAGGGGAGAGCAAGAGAGAGAGAGAGATGTGCCAAACGTAGACGCGCAAAGGGAGGAGCGAGGGCAGCAGCCTGCCGGCCGGCAGGTCGGACCTACGAAACATTGGGGGGAGATGTGCCAAGTCCAAAGACGCATGCCCGAGCAATGGACACAAGGTGTGGACCAGGGGAAGCGAGCGGAGTTGGCGAAGTCCCGCCCTGCCCTCCCCCCCCTGCCGAGGGGATCGTGTACTGCTTGCATCTCTTCCCGGCCGGCTCTTCTGACAATCCTACGGGCCACCTTTGCCACCTTCGAGCCTCGGCCCGCTCTCCGGCCACTCTCTCCCACCTTCGCAGGTGGGCGCCCGCTTCCCGGGGTGCGGACATTACTAGGGTGACGGGGAGCCCATTCGGGACACAGAGGGAGGAGGAGGAGGAGGAGAAGAGGGATGATGGTGGTGATGGTGATGGAGAAGAGGGGAAGAGCGAGGGAGGGTGTCCGCCGGGCAACCGGGCACAGCCATCAGCGGAAGCGGCATCGCTACAAGGAGAACCTTTACCTCCCGTCCAGGGGGAGGCAGCACCGACGACCACACACATGGGGACCACGGCCGCTCGGGGCGTTGCATTTGAACTCGAGGCACCGGAGGGGAAGAGGCACTAGCCCTCCTGTCGCACGGAGGCACCAAGCCCGAGCCATTAGCCATTCCACACACAAGGACCCGGCATGCAATGCCACCAGCACCAGGGTCACCCTTTCAGACACTCACACGCGAGAAGGGGCCGGCATAAGCGGCACCAGTCGATCAGGCGGGCGGTTGTCAAACAGCCCCGGGGCGCCTTCCAGCCTTCCAGCCAATCGCATGGGCGGATGTCTCACTCAGGCGCGTGCCCTGTGCATCCCGGCGAGACCGCAATCTCCCTTTAGGTCACCGCCAAACGGCCAATCAGAACTACACAAGCGGAGCCACTCCCGCCTGCGGCACTCCCATCCAGAAGGACATAACGGCCACACTGTTGCGCACGCGCGACAGCCGAGACGCTCTGTGCTCCAAACTTACAGCCCATTCACTGGGCAGGCCCTGGTCTCCATGGCTCCTTGCCTGCGGTGTGCCGCTCATGCACACGCGCACAAAGGCAGAGAGCAGTCTCATGCGATTTTTCGATCTCGACACCATCATCCCGGGCGGGGACGCAAGAGTGGCCCCCTCTCGCAATGGACTTCGCTCTTGGACAACATCAAATATGAACACACACATACACATACACACACACAGCTTGGGAGCACAGGTGGCGAAATGACCGGTCACTGACATCCTGGATGGGGAGGCAAAGCAGTGGGAGTAGCACAGCGCAATTGGAGGAGAGGCTGAGGGCACCCGCGAGCTGGACAGTTCCTCCCGTCTGATTTTCGGTCGCCGGCCGATCCTCAAGCATGGAAGAGCAGACAATCTCGAAGGCAGCCAGACACACAAAACACTGAGAGAGCGGAGCCCGACCATACACCACCCATGGAACAGACAGGCACACTCAGACAAGCACAGACAAATTGGCACACAGACACAGACACACATGGGTGGGCAGGCGCGCATTCGCTACCCCCTGCAAAAGGACACTCACTAAGTACACACATACACACGCACACACGCGCACATTGCTTGCCAGAGATAGCTGCCTGGTCGAAAGGAGATCCCGATGCGGGGCGTGGGGCATGCCAGCGGATGGACGGTCGCCACCAGGCGCCTCTCGCCCCCAGTGAGGAGGCGCAGCTGTGTGGCAAGTCGCCCAGCTGGCAGATCACTCATCTGGGAGCTTCGAGGCAGGCAAAACAAGCTGGCGTTTCCAGGGGAGGAAACGCAATGTCTGCGAAAGGCCACCCCCACATGCACATCGCCCGTGGCCTCATCCTCGTCCTCCTCTTCCGCGAGGACAGAGGGTCGACAGTGGTGTCGCACCCTGTGGAACGGGCAACCTGGAGAGGGCACACACACATTGGGGGGAGAGAGAGAGAATCGACCCCTTGAAGGCGGTCGCCCGCCCGCGGGTGCGAGAACACACGCATTTGCTCGCACACGCGCACGCCTACACGCCTACACGCCTACACGCACACGTACAGATCCACCTCATTCGGCCCGGAGGATGTCTCCAGCCGGCCACACTCACCCATCAAGGGACACCGGCAAGCCACCGGAGGGAGCAAGAGATGGAGAGGGCCTCACACAGCAGCGGCTCCTTGGGCAGACCTGCGGTGCCGCCGGGGCAGGGCGAAGAGCTCATTCCCGGCAGGTGGAGGTCAAGCGAGGACACGCTGAGGGGGCTCCAGGCCGCCGCTTGCTCTCACGCCGGTGCAGGGCCCAAAGGGTAGAGTGCGCCGAGGGAGCCGACCGAGCGTGCCAGCGCACGTTAAGGGACATGTATGTGTGCATGTGTGCATGTGTGTGTGTGTGTGTGTCGGTATGCATCTACAGCACGTATGCAGAAGATGGGCAAGTGTGCGATGCGCTTTGTCGACCTGGCCTGATCCTCAGAAGAGAAAGGAGGTGGGAGGAGGAGGGGGGGGGGGGGGGGGGGGGGATGAGGGGGCGGATGGCCTCGGCAAGCTCCCCTTGCCTCAGGGATGAGGCCAGGAGAGAGAGACCGCTCGCTGGTGGGACACGGACAAACAGCCAGGCCATGAGGGCTTGGAACTCCGCAGCGCGGCTCGACCGAGTCATACCCTGCTGCCAGAGCCGGCGGCAGGGCGGCAACGAAAACACCCACCACTCTGTCCCTGATTGGGCTCCACCGGGCGGGGAGACCTTGCCACACAGGCAGCCAGAGGAGGGCGCGCGATATAATGCAAGCTGCGATCCTCCCCAGGTTGTGTGTGTGTGTGCGCGTTCGTGTGGGTGGGGGCGGGTGGGCGCATACGTGACAGGTGGCCCGCAGCAGGGGATTTAGCGACTCGCCGAGAGAGAGAGAGAGGGACTGCGTGCGCGGTCGAGAGAAAGAGAGAGGCGCGAAACCAAAGGCAGGATGGAAGTCGGCGCACCAGCAGGAAGCAGCAAGTCAGGGAGTGGTTGGTGGCGGGCGGGCGGGCGCATCACACGCGCGCTCGCGACCGGGGGAAACTGAAAAACCGGTTATGGGGTAGGGGGAACATCCCTCCTTGAAAGCCATGTATGAAGAACCACTGGTTTTGCAAGTGGGTCCGGCTCCGCACTGCACCTGCCTCGGGCTGCCAGACTGGGCCGAGGGGGACGAGGGAGGGAGGGGGTGAGTCGATGGCGCGGGGATGGGTTGTGGAATGCATGCGAGCAGGCGGCGGGAGGGCAGGGGCGGCAACATAGGGAGGGGGCACGAACGGCTCAGGCCAAAGCCGACG